GCTCTGTCCCTCAGGTGTGGGGAGCCGAGCAGTGCTGGTGGGGCCCGGACCCATGGCCCACAGCGCCAAGCAGCTGCCTGCCGGGATGCTGTAAGTGCCGTGTCCCCCCGCCACTCCGTGTCACCCTGTCCCGTGCCGGGCCCCCGCCCTTTGTCCCTTGCTAAAGGGTGGCTGGTCTTGCCTTGTGAGCCTCTGGGGGTCTTCGGCGTGTTTTGAGGACCCCCATCCCCTACTGCGGGCTGCACCGCTCTCCCTTACCTGCCTGCTTTGCTAGCCTGTGCTTCCACCTGGCCGGGGTAATTGCACAGGGCAAAGGGAGACCTGGCCTAAAAGAAGTGTCTCGTGAGGTTAAGACCAGCAAGGTCTCGATTTCTGTGGGGTGAACCGGCATTGACTGCCCCCCTTCCCCAGAGAGGCGAGAGCATGGGGGCCTGCAGCCCCTTGGACAGGCAGATGGGGAAACACCTCCGCCCTCGAGGGAGGTGGATGCCAGAGTGAACCAGCTGGGGAGGCTCAGACAGGAGGAATCTTGCCTGGAATAACTTTACTTTTTAAAGCGTCCTTAGGCACACGAAGAATCTGGATCGTAGCGGGGGAGGCAGAGATCCGGTGTCTGGTGGTGGAGGGTGTTCATGTGTTCCTGGCCGTGGCAGCTGGGCATGATGATACTGTATGGGCATCCCTAGGAATATTTCTGTGCGAACTGATTAAGAAAGCTAAGGTAGGCCATGCTCATGCAGAGCCTCAGGGATGGCTTTTTCCGCCACAGAAGATAGGAGAAGTGATGGTCTCACACCTTCCCGTAGTGTTTTGTGTGATCGTGGGTGTGCAGGGTGGCTGGTTGGGCTTGGATCCCAATGGGAAGTGCTCTTGCTGGGCCATCTGCTCCATCTGCAAGGACCAGTGCAGTTACAGGTGATGTCCCTGGGGGCCTGCAAAGAGGATTGCCAAATTAACTGCAAGGATGGCAACCTGATAGTGATAGGTTAAGGGGATTTGGGTTTACACAAGGTATGTGATGTGACAAACGGGCGAGAGACTCTGGGGCGCATCCGAGTGGGTTGGGGTCAGTCTAGCTTTTGATATACACCAGCATATTCTTTCTTTGGTGAGGCTAGTTACGGTGTCTTGTGACTTGGATGGAACCCAAGCGAGTGCTGTTTGCCACAACTCTCAACCCTTTCATGTCTCCCCCCCCCCCGTAGGGGGCCTGGCTGCACTCTATCAGCATGCACACTCTGGCAGAGCAGGAGACCAAAGGGTGCAGGTGGGACAGAGGCTTGGCTGTGGGATGGAGCCGACCATAGAAGGGGCCAGGGAGGCTCAAGGAGCCCCAGGGTGATGCTGCAGTGGTGCTGTGTGTGCTCAGCTGGGGCAGGGAGGCTCTGCCAACCTGGGTGCTGGACATGCATTCTCTGCTGAAGGCAGATGCAAGTCTGTAAAGACAAGGCAGCAAGTTGGAGAGCAGGAGTCGGGGCCTCCAGCCCTGCGTTAGAGCCGCTCGGTGTGTCTCGGTGCTGGTGCAGGCAGCAGGAACCTGATGGAGCGGTTGTGGTGGAGCGGGTCGAGCCAGCACCCTGCTCTCATCATCTGCCTTGAGGGTTCTCCTTATCCCTGGGAGCGCTTGTGCTGGGTGTAGGTGATGCTTCCAGGTGGTGGCCCTGGAGCCAGGATCCAAACCCCCATGGCTACTCCTCCCTTGCGGAGTAGGATCAACTGCTTGGGACTCCTCGCTGAGGTGTGCACCCAAGCCCTGGTGCATGCAGGAATGTAACTTGCTGTTAGCTGCCCCCAAGAGCAGCATTTGCAGCTCCTGGCCCCCTTCCTTATGTCACTGAAAGGTCCCAGGGTCATCACTGGACCTTGGGGCAGCTTTTGTGTGCTCAGGACTGCCTGGTGCTGGGCTCTGAGTGCCATTGCTCAACTGTAGCAAATCCTCGCACCAGAACAGGGGGTCCAGGGCTGGTAGGGGCTCTGGGCACTGTGTGAGTGGCCAGGAGCTGGGGAATCTGGCGAGTGTGAGACTGCACTGCCAGGGGATGTGTTACTATCAGTCCCGGCTGTTTCCCAGCCCTTTCTGATGGGTACTCTCTGGCTGTAGACATGCCACAGGTAAAGCTCAGCATGGAAACTTCCTGGTGGCCATCAAGCAGGAGAAAGGAGAATCGGCACGGGCTAGTGGTGAGAAGCCACACGGCGAGGAGGAGGTGAGCTCTGGTGCCCGCATCCCTCCCTGCACAGTCCCTGAGAGCAGGGTCTGTGTTGCCCAGCCTGAGGCTGTCCCTCCACTTGCCCTTCAGCAGCCCAGGTGCAGCCAAGCAAGCCTGTGGCTGCAGCCATGGCTAGAGGGAAGGCTGAGACCTCCCCTCAAGGGATGGGAGGCCCACACGGGTCTGCAGGCTGCTCCTGTATCCTGCTGGCACGATGGCATCATGCGCTCTGATCCATGATGTGTTGTCCCTTTTCTGGATGCTAGCCGGTGAAGAAGAGAGGCTGGCCCAAGGGCAAGAAGAGGAAGAAGATCCTTCCCAATGGTCCCAAAGCCCCTGTGACAGGCTACGTGCGTTTCCTGAATGAGCGGCGCGAGCAGATCCGCACACAGCATCCTGACCTGCCCTTCCCAGAAATCACCAAGATGCTGGGGGCTGAGTGGAGCAAGCTTCAGCTTTCGGAGAAGCAGGTACCACCCCCGAGGAGAGACCCCTCCCCCTAGGGCTGGGCAGCATGCTCTGGAGCCTGCACCTCAAACCCCTTTGCTCGCTGCCTGGATGCAGCTCCACAAAGGGAGCTTGTCCCGATACTGGTCCACTGGTGAGCAGGAGTTTGAGTAGTGGGGAGGGATCAGCAGTCCCCTGGGGGGCCTGGGGCTGAGCCAAGCTGAGGACCCTCTGTGACTGTAGCGGTACCTGGATGAAGCGGAGCGGGAGAAGCAGCAGTACATGAAGGAACTGCGAGAATACCAGCAGTCGGAGGCCTACAAGATGTGCACGGAGAAGATCCAGGAGAAAAAGATCAAAAAAGGTGGGTTGGGGGAGCAGTGGCTGCTGGCATTGCTGCCAGGATCTGGCCAAGTGCTGCCAGGGCCTCTCAGGGTAACCTCCCTTCTCCTTTACAGAGGACACAGGCTCTGCAGCAGTGAACACCCTACTGAACGGGCATCCGCACAAGGTAAGGCCCCAGCAGGTTTACCTGCGTGTGGGGCGACTGAGGCATGGGGCACCACTGGGCTGACTGCAGGTTTGGGCAGAGGGAGGCATGGGTTGTCGTTCAAGGCACCAGCTTTTTGTAGTGGAAGGAACCAGAGCGGAGTTGCCCTCCCTGCCTTGGCATGGCCACCCCTTGCCCCAACCCTGTGCCTCCTGTCTGCCCAGCCCCAAGGAGATGGCCTCGCCTTCGGTAGGCTCAGCCCTGCCTGATCCTTCCCTCCCCTGCCCCCAGGCTGGTGAGTGCAGCGACACATTCTCCACCTTCGATGTGCCCATCTTCACGGAGGAGTTCTTGGACCAAAACAAAGGTGAGGGGCTGGGCTGTGGGGTGGGGGCTGCCTGTGCTGCAGCACTGTGCTTGGAGGTTGGCTGCAGCAAGCAGTGCCACTGTCAATGCAGCCCCGGTGGGGCATTTTGGCAGGACCATGGCTGTCCAGGGTGCGAGATCCAGCCTGTGCAAGGCCCCTGGTGAGGTTGGATAGATGGAATACATCCTGACTGGAGCCTGGGGGGTGATGATGCTGAGCCTTTTGGAAGAGTGGTGGCTGGAGGGGGGATTGGGTTTGGGATGAGGGAGACAGTCAGAGGGGCCACCCTTGCTGACACTGCGTGGTCCTGGCAGCACGGGAGGCTGAGCTGCGGCGCCTGCGGAAGATGAACACAGAGTTTGAGGAGCAGAATGCCATCCTGCAGAAGCACACAGAGAGCATGAACTGTGCCAAGGAGAAGCTGGAGCAGGAGCTGGCCCAGGAGGAGAGGCAGACCCTGGCCTTGCAGCAACAGCTCCAGTCTGTGAGGCAGGCCCTCACCACCAGCTTTGCCTCCCTCCCCATCCCTGGTGAGTTCAGAGCAGCCGTAACCTGCTGGGATCTGGGGGTCATGTGGGGGACCACCACTTAGGGCTCCGCATGTGGTACAAGTTTGGACATTGGAGTGGTGATAAATGCTCATGGGCTGCTGGGGCATTGTGCTGGGTTCAGTCA